CCTCCGGCAGGGTCTGTGCGCAGCCCAGGGGCGCCCGGAGCTACCAGAAGCCCCCGGCCGGGCTGCTGCTGGGATGGCACCTCCTCGCAGCCGGCAGTTTGACTGCCAGGCAATGAGACGGTCACCACTGGAGCCGCTGGGCAGTGGCGCGTTGGAGAAGCAGGTCCAGACAACTGGTTATTTAAGTCTGGAAACACTTAAGACAACTTGGGAAAACCATTCTTTTCAAGTTTTAAAATTCAAATGGGCTCCAGGGTCGGGGGGCCCAGGGAAAGAAACCAGCGCTTGTGAGGGTGTCCGTGGGCGCGAGGTGCGAGGACCGGGAGGCCGCGTGGGGACGTCTGGCTCCTTGGCCACTGGCCGGGTCGGGAAAGGAGGGGCCCTGGTTAGCGGCCGTCTCGCCCCTTGAATCCTCTCCCTGGGGTCTGGCACCAGCACCAGGATGGCCCCCCTTCCTGCCGGCAGGAGCGTAGGGCAGACGCGCAGCCGTGGGACGAGGGGGGCCTCATGGGGCCGCAGGCCTCCCTTACTGGGCACCCAGGACCCCCACCGTTCGTCCTGCTGACTCCTCCCCTAATCCGTGGGCAGAGCAGGGTTAGGGGGCTGAGATGTTTTCTTCTCTTTCCATGTCATTTTGGATTAGTTTCCGGTGCCCGGCATCGCGGTTAGACAACCAGATGCTTTGCAGAGTCGCCGATGTTTCCAGGCCCCGCCGGGCACAGGCGTAGTTATGGCAACATCACCGTCTCTGCTCCGGGTGCTGTGCACCCCCGACTAGGGTGTAACCAGCGACCTGTAGGCCTCCATGGACGACACGGACCCACCAACATCCGAGAGGAAACGCGGGTGGAGCGTCGCGGACATTTCTCAGCAGCACTGTTTCTGTTGGCGCTTTCAGACTTTTCCTTTTCACTCGTTTGCTGAGTCCCAGGGTTTCTTCCTGAGGAGCGAGGGCCCGCGGCTGTGCCTCGGATCGTGTCTGAGCAGTATTTTTAAAAAATATATTTGTATTGATTTCAGAGAGGAAGGGAGAGGGAGAGTGCCGGGAGCCGGTCCATCCTTGCTGCCGGTCCCATTGCTGCAGGGGAAGAAACATCTGCACAGCATATGTTTCAAGGGACCTGGTGTATATGGCACACTGTTCTTCATGTGTTTGCTCCCCTTAGCACTATGTGTTTTGGCCAAGGTCACCTCTCCGAGAAAGGTTGTTTCCCCAGGTAGGGATTTTCCCCTGAAGTTAGGGAGGGGATAAAACCCCTTAACTAAGTGCCAGGCGGGTAGTTAATCACTTTAACTA